AAAAAAAAAGATTTATACTATAAAATGTTAGACAAACACAAAAGATGCTTATACAGGGACACTTACTTTAACATTTAGAACTCTTCTGATTATGGCAAACTAAGAGTAATACATAGGTAATCTCTTAAAACGTATATACATGTTGTGGCATCCCCAGTATATAAAACATATATTTATGCACAAACCAAAACATTAAAAATAGTAATCTCTGAGTGATGGAAATGTTAGTGTTTTTAAAATTTTTTTCCTTTTGGATTTTCAACAATAAACATTATTTCTTTTGAAAATAAAACCATTTATCATAAAAGTTTTCCATACTCATAAAAAATAAATATAAAATACTGAAGGAAAAGCACTAGGAGATCCCACAAATGCCTCAAATCACACTCTCAAGAGAAACTAGTCAAAGTACTAACCTGATATGTCCAGAAGGCCAACGCTCGGGAGCTAATGTCCAACACAATCTCTGGTCGCAGTCCTGCCAATACCATAGCTTTATATTCCTCTGATGGACTGAGTTCTGTGCGGACAATATCTAGCTTTCCAGACAGGGTACTGTTGCAGGCAGGGCAGATAGCTGGTGAACGACTAAACTCACCACTGCCATGCTGATCACAGAAGATGTGAGAGCAGGCAGTGACCCATGCATAACCAGAGAGTTTGATGCGACACTTTCGATAATTACAAAGCAGCATATCTTCACACAAAGACATGATAGGATAGTGAAGTCTCCAGATGCTGAAAAGTCCTAATTAGGGGTAAATAAAAAGGTCAAGTAAGTCTAATTGCAATGAAAATGAAATAAGGAACATATAAAAAATAAACTATGCATGCTTTATTCTGATAAAAAAACGTACATTTTGTGTTTTTGTGTTTATCATAATATTAACTGTGCTCCTTCTTTTGCCTTTCTTTTCTCAAAAAAAAAATTCAATGAAAAAGTTAGACATAGGTAGCTACAAATCTCACTAAGGTCAAAAATAGTGTACATGAAAAAAAGGTTCAGGAACATACACAAAATACAAACAAGTAAAAATTAAATCAGTGCTTTTTGCCATTCCTCAATACCTAACCAAAATTCCAAACGCATTATCTATTTACACTTCGCTAGGACACTTCAATGCCATATCTCACACTTGGCAAACATAAAAGTCCAGCCACTTATTTCAGCCATCCCTTTATACTTTGTATAAAGTATTTTAAGCTATATATTTAGGTTTTTCATATATGTGGATTTCTGAGATTCTTTACCTGTGTTGCCATGATGAACAGAGCAGCAGCGTTCCTAGTGCTAAAGAGAAACTCACCTAGTTCAACCAAGAAAATGACCATTATAAAGCCTGAAAATCTGCATAAAAGCTGCTTTTATGCAGATTTTTATCATTGGTTACCGTTTATCTATTAACGTAAACACTATACTAGTCAATGCTATGCTTCTACTAAGATGTTTGTAAAAATGCAGCAATACTCTGGACATACCACGTCATATATTGCATAAATAACAACACATCAATTATACACCAAGGGAATATGTTCATATTTATCAATTGACAAATTCCAAGAACGTTGCTGTGGTCATAGGGGCGGACTAGGATGATCCCACACTTTTACCCCAAAGGTCCCCGCTGAGTTTCCACAAGTATTTTACCCAGCAGTCAGAGGTGAGAGGCCTCTCTGACTCCTGCAGATAATGGGCACAAGGGAAGCAGAAGAGCCAGGAAGGTTTGAAGCTGAGCCCCCTCCTCAGGTGGAACAAGAGGCGCATTCATCCCATTTTCCGCGAGGTGCGGGAGCCAATTTAATGGGCTGTACGGGGTGAAGGGCACGTTTTAGAGAAACAGACCCACGGAAATCACTCTGGAATTTTCACCTTGCTTTGTGTACTCAACAAAGAAAAACAATTCCAAGAACACAAATAGAATACCTAATCTGGGGCTCACAAAAACCGCGGGAAAACGCAGTCGCTTCAACAGCACAAGACGTGCCCGCGCAGACGTCTGAATGCGTCAGGGCGCATGCGCGGGGCAGCCCCAGGGGCTGCCGGGTAGGAGGCGTGGTGATGGGGCCCTCAGGATCCTGGGACCTGCTGGGCCGTGGGGCAGGAATCTGGCAGGAGCGGCGTCTCGGGCTTTGCAAGGCTGTGAAGCCAGCAAGATCTGGAGTAGCTTGTTTCCCGCTTCGCAATAGTAGCACGAAAGTAACATCCTACTTATCATGGTGTATCTTTTAAGTCTCCTTCAACAAGAGTAAGGCCGGTGTGGAGTTGAGAAGGACCAGCTTGAACTTCTGGGTACACACAGGTGTTTGTCCCAGGACAACTTGGCACGGGCTTCCAAAATATGAGGAGAAATTTCCAGAAACTGTGTGATATCTGTTATTGGGCAGCTATCACTTCCATATTGTGGTAGAGTCTACCATTTTATTTTGTATCCATCTTGGAATAGACATCTTTCCAGCTTTTACATATCTACACATTTAAAGAAACGAATTTTCCTTGAGTCTGCCTTGTAAACATTCATTGAAGTGGCAGTATCGGGCGTCACAGATTATCTACCTGTATGCTCTCCTGAGCTGTGGGGAGTGTTTAAATGTTTGCACTGTTTAATGCTGTTACTTGTCACTTTGCTCTGCTCTTCTGTGCTTACTTACAGTAACTGTATTTTTCTGCTTGTCTATATGGGTCTGTTAGCATTTGGATTAAACATTAAGCTAGGGAAGAGCTAGAAGGGCCCTCAGGACATAAGTCTTAATGACGTCTTTCGTAGCCACCTTTTCAGATGATGTGACTCTACGAAGAAAATGCCTGTATTATCTGTAACACAATCAGCCACTCAGAGGACACCAAATCCTGCAATTCCCTGAGCTGTGAATCCATAATACTAACCGTTTTCCATCAAACAAAAAACCTGCCCTAATTAAGCAACTTCCTGCTAGTTTTGTCAACTGATTCAGTTATTAGAAAGGGTCATCTTTAGCCACGCTTGGTGGCTCAAGCCTGAAATCCCAGCGCTTTGGGAAGTGGAGGCGAGAGGATGGCCTGAGCTCACAGGTTCGAAACCAGCCTGGGCAATTTGGCAAGACCTCGTCTCTACAATAAATTAAAAATTAACCAGGTGTGGTGGCGCACCTGTGGTTCCAGTTACTTGGAAGGCTGATGTGGAAGGATCGCCTGAGCCCAGCAGGTTGAGGCTGCGGTGGCCATGAGTGTGCCACTGCACTGTAGCCTGAGCAACGGAGTGAGACTCCTACTCAAAAAAGAAAGGGTCATCTTGGACTTTGTGTACATTTCCTTAAATATCTTCTTTCGGGTTTAGAGTTATTACTTAATTCTAATTTAAACTGAATTCAAGGAAAACTGTTCATGTGTAAACATCTCCCTAACATGTTGTTGGCTGTTTGAGTTTTTTGTGCATTTCCTGGTGTTAACTATACCAAATGTAAAAATATTAAAGTACCCCCCCAAAAAAAGATACAATCTCATTAAGTCCAAAAACAAAATACTCCAATTTGAGACTAGTATGTAACTTTGTGATCCTAGCCAAGTTATCTTAGTACTGCAATATGATCACTTCCTGGAGATGCATCCAAGTTAATATATGCTTTGCATTAATTCATTTTAATGGTCATATACCGCAAGTATATATTTATCCATTCTAGGTTTTTGCAGTTAAAAACAATATGTACAATGAACATTCTGTGCATGTCTCCTTGAGTACACATGCTGAAAATTCTACTAGAATATGGAAACTGGGTTAGGATATAAACATCTTTAAATAAACAAGATGTTGCCAAACCACTCTCCAAATAACAAATTTCACTGTCAACAGCAAGTATATGATAGCCCAATGCTACTGACTCAACAACATGCAGCTGTCGTTATTTTGCTTCATTTTTATCTAACTGATGACAGTGAAAAGTTATCTCAATATTGTTTTAATGTACAGTTATTTGATTATAATGAGGTTGAGCAACTTTTCATATGAAAGGATCCTTGGAGATCCTCCTCTGTAAACTACCTGTTCATATCCTTTGAATTTTCTTGATTTACTTGGAACCATTGAATTATGTGGCATGCAAATATGACTGAATGTATGCAAATTAATCAACTACTCCTTCTTGCGCTTTTGTCTATTCCAGTATCATAATCTGTACTTTTCAATAATTTTTACTTTTTTTTAGTTGGAATCTCACTCTGTCACACTCATGGCCACTGCAGCCTCGACCTGCTGGGCTCAGGCAAACCTTCCACCTCAGCCTTTCAAGTAACTGGAACTACAGGCATGCGCCACCATGTCCAGCTAATTTTTTTATTTATTGTAGAGATGAAGTCTTGTCAAGTTGCCTAGGCTGGTCTCAAACACATGGGCTCAGGCACTCCTCTCACCTCGGCATCTCAAAGTGCTGGGATTATAGGCATGAGCCACTGTGCCCAGCCACTTTTCAATAATTTTAAAGTTGATTTTCATACACAGACATTTAAGAAGGGGCCTGGATAACAATAAGAGTTGTGAGACAAGCCAGGTATGGTTGGCTCATGCCTATAATCCCAGAACGTTGGGAGGCCAAGGTGAGAGGATTACTTGAGCCCACGTGTTTGAGACCAGCCTAGCAACTTGACAAGGCCTCATCTCTACAACAAATTAAAAAATTAGCTGGACATGGTGGCGCATGCCTGTAATTCCAGCTACTTGAAAGGTTGAGGCGGAAGGATCGCCTGACCCCAGAAGGTCAAAGTTTCAGTGGCTGTGAGTAAGAATGCCACTGTACTCCAGCCTGGGCGACACAGTAAGACTCCAACTCAAAAAAAAAAAAAAAAAAAAAAAAGAGTTGTGAGAGTTATTAAGAGTGACCACAACATTAAAGAAAGCAGGCACTCCAACAACCTCAGTCTTTTTTTTTTTTTTTTGAGATAGGGTCTCACTCTTGCGTCCAGACTGAAGTACAATGATGCAATCCTGGTTTACAGCAGCGTCAACCACCTGGGCTCAAGTGATCCCTCTTCTTCTTTTTTTTTTTAAAGGAGGATTTACTGAGAGGACAGAGAAGCTCCCACAGTGGGAGGGGACCCAAGGGGGTTGCCTTCAAGTGATCCTTCTGCTTCAGCCTCCTGAGTAGCTGGGAGTACAGGCACGTGCCAACATGCTCAACTAATTTTTGTGTGTTTTATAGAGATAAGTTCTCACTATCTTGCCCAGGTAGGTTTCAAACTTCTGGGCTCAAGCAGTCCTCCTGCCTTGGCCTCCCAAAGTGCTGGGATTACATGCACGAGTCACCATGCCCAGTCAGTCTCAGTCTTTGATATAAGTGGTTGTCTAGTTATGGTCCCAGGCTAAATTTAACATCCAAAGTATACAATACACATCAAAATATTAGAAATGCTGTTATTACATTTGCTTTTAGAATAAGATTTAATAGTTATATTGACTATACAAAACACTCAACCACAAAGGCAAACTACTCAGAATCACAAATTATAGATATGAAAAGATTTCATGAGAATCGATATAGAAAATCATCTAGAGATATAATGAAGGAGAAAAAGCACTGGGTTTTACATGTCAGTTATACTATACCTGAACAAACAAAAGTAGCTTCCTCACTCTTTATTTTGATACCTTTGTTTTTATAACCAAATATTGAGAATTAACAGAAAAGTCTGACAACTTGTGGACTTAACATATTACCTGCTGTTTTTTAAAATGGTTTAAAACTCAGTTGCTTACAGTTTTGATACAAATTACTAAATATTTGTGAATTGTGTATCATTCATGAAGCAATTTCAAGGCCATTTGATTTCTATACTATTAATAGTACAATTTGTGTTTACACAACACACCATTTAGTTCCATGTTCACCTTTCAAAAATGGCATCTTTACCATGAAAATTGATTCCAATTTTGTACAGGTATTCTAAATACCTATCAGCTTATGAGTATCTATATACCACATTTCTCTAATCATTTCAGAGATAGTAATTTTCCCTATTACCTTGAATTTTAGACTGTTAGCATCATCTAAAACCCATTTGATACCTGTATTTGCTTTAATAGAAGAAACTTAACCTAAAAAATAGGCTTCATATTCTGGCCAACAGAAGTTATTACAGTTGCACAAGCATTTGTCAGATTATAGTATAAACTCAAGTATTAAATCTGATTACAAAAACAATGAGGTACACCAGACTTCCAATATTTTGATTTTTATTTTATACCCCTTGCATGTTAAAAATACTATCATTTTAGCCGGGCTCAGTGGCTCAACCTGTAATCCCACGCTTTGGGAGGCTGAGGTGAGTGGATTGCCTGAGCCCACAGGTTTGAGACTCGCCTGGGCAACTTGGCGAGACCTCATCTCTACAATAAATCAAAAAAAAAATTAGCCAGGCATGGTAGCGTGAGCCTGTAATTCCAGCTACTTGGAAGGCTGAGGTGGAAGGATCGCTGGAGTCCAGCAGGTGGAGGTTGCAGTAGCCAGGAGCTGCCACTGCACTCCAGTCAGGGCAACAGAGTGAGACTGCAACTCAAAAAAAAAAAAATACTATCATTTTAACATTAAATATAAACCATTAATTCTTGTTGACCATACCTGAATGGTAACTGCACTTTAAGTCAGTGATAAACATCCAATTAAGACTATAAATAAAATGTTCATAATAAAAGATTTCCTATTAAAACTTAAAGAAATACCAATAAGCTTCTATACATTTAGCCCTCACATATAAATAGGTTGTTTTTTTGGCAGTCATTCTTCACTACTTCTTAAAAGATCAAGCAGCATAATCTGTTATTTATAGGTTTAACAAGACTCGTGGGTATGCATCTAGTTTTATGTATCTATATATACATTTTACATCAGCCTCACGGTTTAAATCTGATATTCCATGTAAATGTCTTGCTGAAAGACCATTAAAATGGCTGCTGGCCGGGCGCAGTGGCTCATGCCTACAATCCTTGGGAAGCCAAGGTGAGAGGATTGCCTGAGCCCACGGGTTCAATACCAGCCTGGGCAACTTGGTGAGATCTCATCTCTACAATAAATCAAAAAATTAGGCAGGGCTCAGTGGCTCAGCCTGTAATCCCAGCACTATGGGAGGCAGAGGCATGTGGATTGCCTGAGCCTGCGGGTTCGAGACCAGCCTGGGTAACTTAGAGAGACCTGATCTCCACAATAAATCAAAAATTACCCGGATGTGGTAGCGTGCACCTGTAGTTCTGGCTACTTGGAAGGCTGAGGCAGAAGGATCACGGGAGCCCAGCAGGTCGAGGCTGCGGTGGCCGGGAGCAGCCACTGCACTCCAACCTGAGTGACAGAGTGAGACTCTAACTCAAAAAAAAAAGGAAAGAAATTCTGTCCCTTCTTTTTTGATTACACGTACATTTTCTCAATCTAGAATCATCATTTGCTTTGTAATTGTTTGACTCCGCAAAAATCAGAAGGCACTAACGGACAGCCAGCCTATCCTCACAGTGCCCTGAGTGAAGACAAGCCATCTTTGATATATGATGGATTAAAATCCCACTGCCTAAGGCTCCAAGCAGTGAGAGGAACAGCCATCAAAGTTTCATCTCTAACCACATTATTTTAAGAAACACTTATAAGCCAGGCTCAGACCTTATCTCTACAATAAATCAAAACTTAGTCGGGCATGGTAGTAGGCCTGTAGTTCCAGTTACTTGGAAGGTTGAGGCAGAAGAATCACCAGAGCCCAGCAGGTCGAGGCTGCAGTGGCCAGGAGCGGCCACTGCACTCCATCTGGGTGACAGAGTGAGACTCCGACTCAAACAAAAAAAAAATAAAATACTTATAGCCGGGCTCGGTGGCTCAGCCTGTAATCCCACGCTTTGGGAGGCTGAGGTGAGTGGATTGCCTGAGACCGCAGGTTCGAGACCCGCCTAGCCAACTTGGCGAGACCTCATCTCTATAATAAATCAAAAAATTAGCTGAAAGTGGTAGCACACGCCTGTAATTCCGGCTACTCGGAAGGCTGAGGCGGGAGGATCGCCGGAGCCCAGCAGGTCGAGGCTGCGGTGGCTGGGAGCGGCCACTGCACTCCAGTCTGGGCGACAGAGTGAGACTCCAACTCAAAAAAAAAGAAACACTTATAAAAAATAAAGACATCAAGAGACTCAAAAAATAAGAATCATTACATCTAATAAGAACTAGAAGAGACCATTAAGATCAACTGATTTAGCTAGACAAAATTAGGAACAAGATAACAAGTACATTAGTGCCAAAAGCAAGATTAATCAACTAATGACAACATTACGATTATATACTACAGCCCCATCATGATACTATGCTTAATTTAATCAATCTTTGGGTGCCAAGCATGAAAGTAATGTGAGGTAGGCCAATTGGCAGAAAGACATGTAAGCAAAAAAAAACCAAACAATTTCTGACAACCTGTTATACGGATGTCAGAAACGGCCAGGTAGGAAAACATATACATGGACTCCGATGATAAAAAGCTAACACCTATAAAGCATTTACCATATGCTTTACTATGGCCTAAGCCTCGCACATTAACTAATTTCATCTTCAAAAGTAACCATTCTTTGAGTCGGGTACTTTTATCACTTTTTAAGATACAAAGAAACGTCCAGGCACAGTGACTCACCTATAATCCCAGGACTTTGGGAGGTCGAGGTGAGAGGATTACCTGAGCAAACAAAAGAAGATACAAAGAAACTAAGACATGAGATGTTACACTTGCCAAGGTGACCTAACTGATAAGTGATAGTGCAGGGCTTTGAACCCAGTATGACACCAGAACCCATGTATAACTACCGTATTGTGCTGCCTCTCAACATCTTTAACTGACTTTTTTAAAAAGGTAATTTATAACGCCTTAGCAGCTGGCCATGAAGTTGCAAAGCTGAATTCCCAGATATTCATATGTATGTCAACACTTCCCAATGTAAACATAAGCCTCACCATAAAAGAAAACTGCAGTCATCATCATCATCGATTGTATATCCGAGATTCACAGCCATGAAGAGGTCCAGACTGCCAACAGTTTGACTCAAATCTGGTTTTGGAATCTTGAAATTTTACTTCTGCAAAAGACAGCAAAAGCTAAAAGATTATTTCACGTACTGTTATTACTGTAAAGTATTTGTATTTCCTGGAAATCACCCTTACCTCTATCTCATTCCCAGCTGAAAAATGCAGTCACAGGCAAAGAATATGTCTGTCCTATCTAAGTTGCTTGAAATAACTTTTAAAATTATACAAAACATGAATATAGCAAAGCTAGAAAATAAAGGCGCACAAAATAACTGGATCACTCATAGAACCCAATTCTAGAGACAATCCCTAGTACTTGAGTAGATCTGTCTTTTCAGATGATTTCTCAAGCGAACGTATGCATATGAAAATATGTCAGCAGAAACGTATTGCTCCACAACCTGTTTTTAATGTCATGAATACTATTTCATATCAATAAACAAACCTATATCATAACTTTTAAGGGACTGTGTAGTGTTAAATTACTTCACAAAATTGATTTAACCAACTGAGATTCCTGTAATCTCTCTATATACAAACTGATAAAACAGTGCTTAGTTTAAAACTGCCAAGCTAAACTGATGATAGAATACCAATCACCAGTGCTTTTCTGTAGTGTTTGTATTTTTAGATTAAGGATTCCTGACCCTAGATCTATCTCACAAACGTAATTTTTTTGTGTGTGATATAGGGCTATCACAAAAGATCAATGCACAACAAAGTGTGGTCTCAAATTCATAATTCAAAGATTTAAGTATTGCCTGGGATTAGAGGTTAAATCCCAGTAAGAATTCCAGCAAGCATTAATTCGATTCTAGGTGTTTGCCCCTAGCTTTAGTCTGCTCAGAGCATGTGTTTAATCAGGCTGATCAGCTGAAACACGGACTTAACATGCATTTCATCATGGCAAACTGTAAATGACTGGTGAAGGGCAAATCACCACTGGCTCCTTGTCCCTAAATAGGAAAACACTCTTAAGGTTGGAACTAGGGTTTTTTCAACTACCAAATTCCAGCCACTGATAACACTGAGCCCTAAATCTTGCTAGGTGATTACAAAATCCAAATGGGATAAAAATGAAGATTTTTCTCTTATATTTACCTCTGGTATCAGATGAATCCAGCTTCTATCTAGGAGTCAAGTTGAACTGCAGGATCTACCAACTACCTAGCATTATCTCTGGGAAAAAAAAATAAATACAGTAAACAAATGTACAAAGGTTATTATTACATTACAACTCATACCAGCATGCTGCACACCAAGTCACAAGAAAATTTAGAGCAACTTCATCCTTTATTTGACTCTCCATCAATATAAATTATTGACCCATCTATTTAGAGAATGTCATCAAATACCCAAGCTCAGCATCAAATAGGTCAAGATCAGGAATTTGAGGCTGCAGTGAGCTATGATCATGCCATTTCAATTTCAATTTCATTTGAGCCAATGCTGGATGTATTTAATATTTCAATTTCATTTGAGCCAATGCTGGATGTATTTAATATTTCCTTAATCTTAGCACAATAATCTGAAGAAAATCTTCCCTTGATATAGTAAAATTGAATTAGCATCAATTGAACCCAATTCTGCCACAAGATGGCAATATAAGAAGCCTTATTTTGCTCTTCTAGAGTCTGAGTATAATCTAAACCTTCAAGTGAAATAGACTGGATATGCAATTCATCGGTGCAGGCAACCTTCACACTATTCTTTATTATTCACCTAATTTCTAGCTAGAAAAATGTCTTTACTGCATGTAATAATTTTAAATTTATTAGCTAAAAATATTACAATTATACTTTTATCATGTTTCTTTTCATGTAGCAATTTGGAGACCTATAAATCCACACATAACCTCAGTTACAATCTAGCCACAAAGACAAGACTCAAAAATTAGCGTACCGCCAAATAAGTGGCAGAAAACAAATGAGCTTAAGAAAAGAAGTAGGCCAGGCATATAATCCCACCTATAATCCCAGCACTTTGGGAGGCCAAGGTGAGAGGATTGCCTGAGCCCACGAGTTTGAGACCAGCTTGGGCAACTTGGCAAGACCTCAGCTCTACAATAAATCAAGAAAAATTAGCCAGGTGAGATGGTGCATGCCTGTAGTACCAGTTACTTAGAAGGCTGAGGTGGAAGGATCACCTGAGCCCAGCAGGTTGAGGCTACGGTGGCTATGAGTGTGCCACTGCACTCCAGCCTGGGCAACACAATGAGACTCCCAATCAAAAACAAAAAGTAAGCCGGTTACAGTGGTAATCCCAGCACTTTGGGAGACTGAGACAGAAGGATTGTTGGAGTTCTGGAGTTTGAGACTAGCCTGGGCAACATTTAGCGAAACCCTGTCTCTGCAAAAAAAATTTTTTTTTCATTAGCCAGGCATGGTGACACACACCTGTAGTCCCAGCTACTCAGGAAGTTGAGGCTACGGTGAGTCATGATTGCACCACTGCACTCCAGCCTGGGTGACAGTGAGACTCTGACAAAAAAAAAAAAAAAAAAAAGCAGCATTGATAAAGGAAGCCTTCTGAAGAAAAAAAAGTGGTGGGTCTTGAGTGGAACTCAAAGCTGCATATCTAATAAATAACTACTTAACTAAAATCATTCTTTAGAATACTATCTGTCAAGCACTATAGAAATTGTTTTATTCAAATTTCACAATCCCATATTTACAAAGAAAACAGGCTCAGAATTTACATAAATTTCCTAAGGTCACCTAATTAGTAAGGACTAGGTTTCAAATCCAGTTCCATCAAAACTCCATACTCTTTTCCCTTCACTTCCTACAGGAAATAAGCAAAGCTACAGCGATGGAATAGGGTTTAGAACGTAACGAGAATGACATACCGGACGAGAATGACATACCGGCTCAGTAGTTCAGAAAGAGACTGAGGTGCTTTAAATACTTGAGAGTACGATCCAAGTGTTATTTTACTCCTTCCTTGCCCTATATTTGAACAGTGCTCTATGTAAAATGTTTCAGATCAGCAGCATGCAAGATTAACTAAAGGAATATAGACAAGAAGCAAGAAGTTTACAGTTTTTACAATGGTTACTTCAAAAATCCTTGATCCAAGTACTTACAGGAGAGAAATTATAGGCTAAAAGGGACAACTTCTCTATCTATCCACAAACAAAACCTGGATTACAAGGGACCTGACCTTTGTATCCTCAACAGACAGCAGAAAGCCTAGCACATAAATCCTGAGGTTAAATGTGATACCTTTCCCAATGAGTGAGTGTAGTTATGCTTCAGCAAGCATCATTCTATCATGCAAAGGACACCTTATATTTACTAAGTATTTTGTAAACACTCCATAAACAATCAATGAGCCATGCATTTGTTGACTATGGGCAATAAGTACTGGTGTAAAGACAAAAGGTACATTTTATATGTGTAGAAGGTACAATTTATATGTTGCATCATGAAGGCCTGCTACAAAGTACAAATTGATAACACTAAGTCAGCAGATACTTGGTTTTAAGATTGCATTATCATTCTATTTGACTCACTTCCATTCCAATTTACTCAGTGCCTACCATTTAATCTATTTAGATAGAAAAGACACACATATGTTTGAAGTAAAGAGAATTTAAGGTAGTTTATCTTGGTCAAAATTCAAATACCTACCCTTATGGTCCCAACAGCCTTTAACCCTTCCTATTGAGAATGTCCAAACCTAAGCCCACTGGATCTTCAGGAAGTCTACAGAAATTATAGAGGCTTTCACAGGACCACTCATGGGCTGGCACACAGGGTGCTGAAAACCCAGGCTCTCCCTCTTCAGTGGACTTCATTTTCAACCTGCAACAAAAGGAAAACAATATAAAACTTTGTACAAAGGAAGTGCTAAACTGTTAACTTGGCATAGTTTTCCTTTAGATAGTTGTTTAAGGCACTGATATCAGAACAGACCCCTAATTTTATTTCCCACTCATTATCAACTGTTTTGGCTAGGAATACTAATTATTTGAACCACTAACTGCAGGAGGAATCCACTCAGAGCATATATGAAATAAAAAAGGTGAGGTCAGAAACTCACAATAATCATGAAACTCATTCCAAGTTCATCACACCATTTCACCCACACCTGAGTCCCATGGCTAGTGGAACAAGTAAAAATGAAAATACAGTGCCAAAGGGTTTTGGGTCAAAACAGCAAAAAGGAGTAACTTGAAACCAGGGTGAAAGAGGTAATAAAACCATCCCTACTCAGTTAAGTTGCTTTTTTTTTTTTTTTTTGAGTTGGAGTCTCACTCTGTTGCCCAGACTGGAGTGCAGTGGCTGCTCGCGGCCACCGCAGCCTCGACCTGCTGGGCTCCGGCGATCCTTCCGCCTCAGCCTTCCGAGTAGCCGGAATTACAGGCATGCGCTACCACGCCCAGCTGATTTTTTTTTT